TTTCTCGGTTTTTCAGTTTTTTGATTCTTCAGTTTAACGATTTTAAAAATTTTCGAATTTTCGATTTCTCATTTTTTTTACTTTTCGATTTCTCGATTTTCAGAGAATCAGTTTAGTTCTAAATTTTTCAATTTTTCAATTCTTCAATTTTCAAAAATTTTTAATTTTTCCACTTTTCCAATTTTCAATTTTTGGCGTTTCTAAGTTTTTGGTTAGTCGATTTTTCATTTTTTTGACATTTAGATTTTTTCGATTTCTCAATCTGTTGATGTTTCAGTTTTAGGATTTTTCAATACATATTTCTATTCTTGGATTTTTCGATTTTTCGACTTTTATTTCTCAGTTTTTTGATTCTTCAATTTTCCGAAATTTTAAATTTCAGATTTTTCAATTTCTCGATTTTTGGGTTGTTCGATTTTTCAATTTTTCGAATTTTTAATTTTTCAACTTTCGATTTTAAATTTTTGGGTAGTTCAATTTCTCGATTTTTCAATTTTTTTGATTTCCTGATTTATTGAGATTTCTCGGTTTTTGGATTTTTCAATTTTTCGACTTTTTTAAATTTTAAATCTTTTAAAATATTTAGATTTCTCGGTTTTTCAATGTTTCGGATTTTCGATTTTTGGATTTTCCAATTTTTCGATGGTTCGACATTTCAATTTTGGGATTTTTCAATTTATTAATTTCGCAATTTTTTAATTTTTCAGTTTCGATTTTTTAAATTTTCGATTTTCCAACTTTTCAATTTTTCGATGTCAATCTTTTAAATTCTTCAATTTTTCGATTTCTCGGTTTTTCAGTTTTTTGATTCTTCAGTTTAACGATTTTAAAAATTTTCGAATTTTCGATTTCTCATTTTTTTTACTTTTCGATTTCTCGATTTTCAGAGAATCAGTTTCGTTCTAAATTTTTCAATTTTTCAATTCTTCAATTTTCAAAAATTTTTAATTTTTCCACTTTTCCAATTTTCAATTTTTGGCGTTTCTAAGTTTTTGGTTAGTCGATTTTTCATTTTTTTGACATTTAGATTTTTTCGATTTCTCAATCTGTTGATGTTTCAGTTTTAGGATTTTTCAATACATATTTCTATTCTTGGATTTTTCGATTTTTCGACTTTTATTTCTCAGTTTTTTGATTCTTCAATTTTCCGAAATTTTAAATTTCAGATTTTTCAATTTCTCGATTTTTGGGTTGTTCGATTTTTCAATTTTTCGAATTTTTAATTTTTCAACTTTCGATTTTAAATTTTTGGGTAGTTCAATTTCTCGATTTTTCAATTTTTTTGATTTCCTGATTTATTGAGATTTCTCGGTTTTTGGATTTTTCAATTTTTCGACTTTTTTAAATTTTAAATCTTTTAAAATATTTAGATTTCTCGGTTTTTCAATGTTTCGGATTTTCGATTTTTGGATTTTCCAATTTTTCGATGGTTCGACATTTCAATTTTGGGATTTTTCAATTTATTAATTTCGCAATTTTTTAATTTTTCAGTTTCGATTTTTTAAATTTTCGATTTTCCAACTTTTCAATTTTTCGATGTCAATCTTTTAAATTCTTCAATTTTTCGATTTCTCGGTTTTTCAGTTTTTTGATTCTTCAGTTTAACGATTTTAAAAATTTTCGAATTTTCGATTTCTCATTTTTTTTACTTTTCGATTTCTCGATTTTCAGAGAATCAGTTTCGTTCTAAATTTTTCAATTTTTCAATTCTTCAATTTTCAAAAATTTTTAATTTTTCCACTTTTCCAATTTTCAATTTTTGGCGTTTCTAAGTTTTTGGTTAGTCGATTTTTCATTTTTTTGACATTTAGATTTTTTCGATTTCTCAATCTGTTGATGTTTCAGTTTTAGGATTTTTCAATACATATTTCTATTCTTGGATTTTTCGATTTTTCGACTTTTATTTCTCAGTTTTTTGATTCTTCAATTTTCCGAAATTTTAAATTTCAGATTTTTCAATTTCTCGATTTTTGGGTTGTTCGATTTTTCAATTTTTCGAATTTTTAATTTTTCAACTTTCGATTTTAAATTTTTGGGTAGTTCAATTTCTCGACTTTTCAATTTTTTTGATTTCCTGATTTATTGAGATTTCTCGGTTTTTGGATTTTTCAATTTTTCGACTTTTTTAAATTTTAAATCTTTTAAAATATTTAGATTTCTCGGTTTTTCAATGTTTCGGATTTTCGATTTTTGGATTTTCCAATTTTTCGATGGTTCGACATTTCAATTTTGGGATTTTTCAATTTATTAATTTCGCAATTTTTTAATTTTTCAGTTTCGATTTTTTAAATTTTCGATTTTCCAACTTTTCAATTTTTCGATGTCAATCTTTTAAATTCTTCAATTTTTCGATTTCTCGGTTTTTCAGTTTTTTGATTCTTCAGTTTAACGATTTTAAAAATTTTCGAATTTTCGATTTCTCATTTTTTTTACTTTTCGATTTCTCGATTTTCAGAGAATCAGTTTCGTTCTAAATTTTTCAATTTTTCAATTCTTCAATTTTCAAAAATTTTTAATTTTTCCACTTTTCCAATTTTCAATTTTTGGCGTTTCTAAGTTTTTGGTTAGTCGATTTTTCATTTTTTTGACATTTAGATTTTTTCGATTTCTCAATCTGTTGATGTTTCAGTTTTAGGATTTTTCAATACATATTTCTATTCTTGGATTTTTCGATTTTTCGACTTTTATTTCTCAGTTTTTTGATTCTTCAATTTTCCGAAATTTTAAATTTCAGATTTTTCAATTTCTCGATTTTTGGGTTGTTCGATTTTTCAATTTTTCGAATTTTTAATTTTTCAACTTTCGATTTTAAATTTTTGGGTAGTTCAATTTCTCGATTTTTCAATTTTTTTGATTTCCTGATTTATTGAGATTTCTCGGTTTTTGGATTTTTCAATTTTTCGACTTTTTTAAATTTTAAATCTTTTAAAATATTTAGATTTCTCGGTTTTTCAATGTTTCGGATTTTCGATTTTTGGATTTTCCAATTTTTCGATGGTTCGACATTTCAATTTTGGGATTTTTCAATTTATTAATTTCGCAATTTTTTAATTTTTCAGTTTCGATTTTTTAAATTTTCGATTTTCCAACTTTTCAATTTTTCGATGTCAATCTTTTAAATTCTTCAATTTTTCGATTTCTCGGTTTTTCAGTTTTTTGATTCTTCAGTTTAACGATTTTAAAAATTTTCGAATTTTCGATTTCTCATTTTTTTTACTTTTCGATTTCTCGATTTTCAGAGAATCAGTTTCGTTCTAAATTTTTCAATTTTTCAATTCTTCAATTTTCAAAAATTTTTAATTTTTCCACTTTTCCAATTTTCAATTTTTGGCGTTTCTAAGTTTTTGGTTAGTCGATTTTTCATTTTTTTGACATTTAGATTTTTTCGATTTCTCAATCTGTTGATGTTTCAGTTTTAGGATTTTTCAATACATATTTCTATTCTTGGATTTTTCGATTTTTCGACTTTTATTTCTCAGTTTTTTGATTCTTCAATTTTCCGAAATTTTAAATTTCAGATTTTTCAATTTCTCGATTTTTGGGTTGTTCGATTTTTCAATTTTTCGAATTTTTAATTTTTCAACTTTCGATTTTAAATTTTTGGGTAGTTCAATTTCTCGATTTTTCAATTTTTTTGATTTCCTGATTTATTGAGATTTCTCGGTTTTTGGATTTTTCAATTTTTCGACTTTTTTAAATTTTAAATCTTTTAAAATATTTAGATTTCTCGGTTTTTCAATGTTTCGGATTTTCGATTTTTGGATTTTCCAATTTTTCGATGGTTCGACATTTCAATTTTGGGATTTTTCAATTTATTAATTTCGCAATTTTTTAATTTTTCAGTTTCGATTTTTTAAATTTTCGATTTTCCAACTTTTCAATTTTTCGATGTCAATCTTTTAAATTCTTCAATTTTTCGATTTCTCGGTTTTTCAGTTTTTTGATTCTTCAGTTTAACGATTTTAAAAATTTTCGAATTTTCGATTTCTCATTTTTTTTACTTTTCGATTTCTCGATTTTCAGAGAATCAGTTTCGTTCTAAATTTTTCAATTTTTCAATTCTTCAATTTTCAAAAATTTTTAATTTTTCCACTTTTCCAATTTTCAATTTTTGGCGTTTCTAAGTTTTTGGTTAGTCGATTTTTCATTTTTTTGACATTTTGATTTTTTCGATTTTTCAATTTTTCGATTTCTCAATTTGTTGATGTTTCAGTTTTGGGATTTTTCAATACTGATTTCTATTCTTGGATTTTTCGATTTTTCGACTTTTATTTCTCAGTTTTTTATTTTTCAGTTGTTTGTAGTTTCGATTTCTCGATTTTTCAGTTTTTTGATTCTTCAATTTTCCGAAATGTTAAATTTCGGATTTTTCAATTTTTCGATTTTTCAATTTTTCGAATTTTTAATTTTTCAACTTTCGATTTTAAATTATTGGGTAGTTCAATTTCTCGATTTTTCAATTTTTTTGATTTCCCGATTTATTAAGATTTCGATGTTTCGATTTTTCGATTGTTTAATTTCTCGGTTTTTGGATTTTTCAATTTTTCGACTTTTTTTAATTTTAAATCTTAAAATATTTCGATTTCTCGGTTTTTCAATGTTTCGGATTTTTGATTTTTGGATTTTCCAAGTTTTCGATGTTTCGACATTTCAATTTTTGAATTTTTCAATTTATTAATTTCCCAATTTTTTAATTTTTCAGTTTCGATTTTTTAAATTTGGAATGTTTCGATTTTTCGTTTTTTCGAATTTTCGATTTCTAGACAATTCCGTTTTTCCATTTTAAACATTTTTCGTGTTCGATTTTTCAAGTTTTTCAACATCACAATTTTTCAACATTTCAATTTTGAGAATTTTTCAATTTCTCGATTTTAAAAATTTTTTGATTTCTTGATTTTTCCGATGTTTCAAATTATTTAGCCACTGCACTTTACTTAAGATTACAAAAATCACAAAAATTTTCATAATTTTTCAAAAAAACTTTCGACCAATTTTTCCAGATACGAGATGGCTGCAAAGAACTGGTTTTTGACAGTTCCCAACTGCAAGAACTGTCAAAACGCTTCCTCGCCGACGTCCACAAGGGCCTCAAAAAACAAACCCATCCCAGCTCCATCGTCAAGTGCTTCGTGACCTACGTCCAAGACCTCCCCAATGGATCAGGTAACCTTCCAAACCCTTCGCAACCGCGTAGCCAAACCTCGATTTCCAGAAAAGGGCAAATTCCTAGCCCTCGACTTAGGCGGCACCAACTTCCGCGTCCTCTTAATCGAACTAAGCAAAGACCACTTCGAAATGCGCTCAAAAATCTACGCCATCCCCCAGCACATCATGCTGGGCTCAGGCGAGCAACTCTTCGACCACATCGCCGACTGTCTAGCCCAGTTCATGAAGCAGGAGCAAGTCATGAGCGAGACGCTACCCCTAGGCTTCACCTTCAGCTTCCCTTTGACCCAAAAAGGACTCACTAAGGGCTACCTCGAGCGCTGGACCAAGGGCTTCAACTGCTCCAACTGCGTCGGGAACGACGTGGTGCAGCTGCTCAAGGACGCCATCGCCAGACGCGGGGTGAGTCGGCGTCGGGTAATTTTGTCCGTAACCAGCGATGTCAGTTGCCGCTTCTAATTCGAGCTTTGCGTAAACAGTAGATCTTTCAGGATTTGCGAATCGAATAAATCACTCTACAGGAACGTTAATGTCAGTAGCTACGTGCTGTCGAATTGGCGTTATAGTTGGTGAGTCAGTCGGAATTAGTACGTGGTTCAGCTTTGCATGAGTAAAAATAAACTAAATTTTAAAATGCTTACTGTTACGTCAAAGCATTAACCTGACGCTTAAAGTTTAAATTTAGCGGATTGAGGCAGCTCGATGACGTAGGAGAGGTGTAAGGTGGGGTCGTTGTTGGCGGTCGGACCTCAACTATATCGCCTGGGAGAAGTACGCAGTTATTAAATCTATTAACTTTTTTTTAATCATGAGGACTGACATGTTTAACTAAATCTAAGTTCTAGTTAATTTTATTTTATTATTGTGGATAAATATGTATTGTTTTTGGCAAATTTTGAAGTGAACTTGATTTGTAGGACGTTAAAATTAAAGTCTGTGCCATTCTTAACGACACAACGGGAACTCTGATGTCTTGTGCCTGGAAAAACCCCTATTGCAGAATTGGGCTTATTGTGGGTACGTTTTTACCTCCGCCACCAACCCCAACCCACGATTTTTTTTTTCGACCAATTTTTAGGAACTGGGAGCAACGCGTGTTACGTAGAAAAACAAAAAAATGCCGAATTGTTCGACGACGCAGACAAAGGCTCTGGAAACGTGTTAATAAACCTGGAATGGGGGGCCTTCGGGGACGACGGAAGTCTGGACTTTATAAGAACCGACTACGATCGTGACGTAGACACAAATTCAGTAAATCCAGGGAGACAATTGTACGCCCTAATCACCACACAACCCTAACTAATAGAAAAATTCCAGACACGAAAAAATGATTTCTGGAATGTACATGGGAGAAATCACTCGACTAGCTCTGGAGAAATTCACCAAACAAGGTCTCCTGTTCGGGGGTAAAGGATCCGAAGCCTTATTCACCCGCGGGAAATTCTACACCAAATACGTATCCGAAATCGAGGGTGACCCACCCGGAACCATCACCAGTTGTAAAGACATACTAGTAGAAGAATTGGGTAATTATTTGGTTTCAGTCAACCGGTTTATCTTAAAATCGGTTTCCAGATATTCCCCACGCCACGGACCAGGACTGCCACAACGTGAGGTACGTCTGCGAGTGTGTAAGTCGGAGGGCTGCGGATTTGGTTTCCAGTGGGATAGCCACCCTTTTGAATAAAATCAACGAGCCGAGGGTCACTGTGGCTATCGATGGGTCGGTGTATAGATACCATCCGCATTTCCATAATCTCATGATGGAGAGGATTTCCACGATGATTAATCCGGGAATTAATGTAGGTTTGAGGGTTAGATTGGGTTGAGGTTCTAATGGTTTGTTTATAGTTCGATTTAATGCTGTCTGAGGATGGGAGTGGACGTGGGGCGGCGCTGGTGGCGGCGGTGGCGTCTCGGATTGAGCAACAGCAAAAAAAATGACGTGAATTGTAGTTAGTTTGAATTAGTTGTGGATGATTCGAAAACTGTGTGGCATGACTTGATTCGTTGTAATAGTAAGGTTCCTAATGTCTAGACCATTTTGTAGATCATTTTTATGTGATTAATAAAAGATAATTTATTATTGGGGTGTTTTTTAATTCCGTAATCTAAGGTAGTATTGTAAACTTTTTTAAGGTCATCAGATCATTATTTAAATTTAACCGTTTACAACCCCCTACAAAACTGATCAAAATTTTGTCACCCTAAATCCTTAAAAACATCAAAATTCTCGATTCCCCTAAACATCAAAATCAAAATCCCCTAATCCCCAAATTTTCAATACCCCAAATTCTTCGAATCCTCTAAAAACCCAAATCCTCAAAGCGGTTAGAATTATGGAAGAAACGAAATCGGAAGTGAATTCTGCGGCTCTGAATCTAAATGTATTTAGTTAAATTTCGAAAATTTCATTTTTTTTGTCTCAAAACTTCTCAAAAAATTCAGGGATATAGATCTCGAGGTGCTGATTTCAAAAATATAGCGTTTTTGTGGTAACGGAGCAATATTTTCGAAATATTCGGTGTGAGATTCGAATCCTGAAAGAAAAACGATTAGAGTTAATTGAAGAAACGAGGCTTGAAAAAAATCGTCAAAATCTCCAATGGTCAAAACACCAATATCCTCGACTTCTCAAAACACCATAATTCTCAAATACTCAAAACACTAAAACCGTCATATCGTCTAAACACCAAAATTTTCAAATCCTGAAAACACTACAATCCTCAAAATACCACAATCCTCAAATCCTCAAATGACCAAAATCTCCAAATTCTCAAAACACCAAAATCTTCAAATCGTCAAAATACTAAAATTTTCAAATGGTCAAAATAGCAAAATCTTCAAATTCCCAAAACTTTTCGATTTTTTTATTTTTCCATTTCTCAATTTCTCGATTCTTCGATGTTTCGGTTTTCCGATTTTTGAATTGTTCAATTTTAGATCTTTCATGTTCTTGATTTTTCAATTTTTTGATTTTTTAAATTATCAATTTTTCGATGCTCGGTTTTGGAATTCTTCAATTTTTCAATTTTTCGACTTTTCGATTTCTCTTCTTTTCAGTTTTTTTATTCAATTTATCGATTTTTCAAATTTTAGAGTTTTCGTTTTCTCAATTTTTCAACTTTCGATTTCTCAATTTTTCGAATTTGGGTTTTTTGATTCTTCAGTTTTTCAATTTATTAATTTCTCTGTTTTCAGTTTTGCTATAACTCCATTTTTTCGATATTTCAGTTTTAGGATTTTTCAAATTTTTAATTCGTCTATTTTTCAAATTTTCGTTTTCTCAATTTTTGTATTTTTCGATTTCCCAATTATCCGATATTTCAGTCTACGATTTTTCAATTTTTTATTCCTCAATTTTCGATTTTTTCATTTTTCCAATTTTCAATTTCAGATTCTCCATGAATTGATTTTTCGATTTCACGGTTTTTCAACTTTTCGATTTTCTGATTTTGGATTTTTCAATTCTTCAATTTTTAATTTTCAAATGGTCAAAATACCAAAATCTTCAAATTCCCAAAACATCAGAATCCTTGAAGCCTCAAAACACCAAACTCCTCAAGTGCTCAAAATACCAAAATCCTCAAAATACTTATGGAAGAAATGAAATCGGAAGTGATATCATGATTTTGAAATTTTTTAATATCTCAATTTTTCGAATTTTCGATTTCTCGATTTTTCAAGTTTTCAATTTCTCGATTTTTGAACATGTTAATTTTGGGATTCTTTCAGTTTCTGGAGTTTTCAATTTTAGAAAATCTAGAAGAACGATTAGAGTTATTGAAGAAACGAGGCCTAAAAAATCGCCAAAAACACGAAAATCCCAAAATTCTCAAAACAGCATAATTCTCAAATGCTCAAACACCAATATCGTCAGATCGTCAAAATATCCAAATCTTCAAATTCTCAAAACATCAAAATCCTCAAAGCCTCAAACCACTAAAATCCACAAATCCTTAAATCTTCAAAACACCAAATTCCTCAAATCCTTAAATGCTCAAAATATCAAAATCCCCAAATCCTCAAATCCCCGAAATACTGCAATCCTTAAATTCTCAATCGCCACAGCCTTGAAATCGTCAAAACACCAGTCCGCAAATCCTCAAAAGACCAAAGTAATCATATCCTCAAAACACTAAAATCTCCACATCATCAAAACATCAAAGTCCTCAAATCCGTAAAACACCAAAATCCCTCAATCCTCAAATCTTCAATATATCAAAATCCTCAAATCCTCAAATTTTCAAAACACCAAAATCCTCAAATTCTCAAAACACCGTAATTCAAAAGTGTTCAAAATACCAAAACTGTCAAATTGACAAAACAGCAAAATTCTCAAATCCTCAAAACACTACAATCCTCAGATCCTCAAAACACCACAGTGTTCAAGTCCTCAAAACACCAAAGTCCCCAAATCCTCAAAAGACCAAAGGAACCATATCCTCAAAACACCAAAATCCCCAAATCCTCAAAACATCAAAATCTTCAAATCGTCAAAATACCAAAATCTGCAAATTCTCAAAACATCAAAATCCTCGAAGCCTCAAAACACCAAAATCCACAAATCCTTAAATCTTCAAAATACCAAATTCCCCAAATCCTTAAATGCTCAAAATATTAAAAATCCTAAAATCCTCAAAACACCAAAATCCTCAAATCCTCAAAACACTACAATTCTCAAATCCTCAAAACACCAAAGTCCCCAAATCCTCGAAACACTAGAATCCCCACACATCATCAAAACATCAGTCCCCAAATCCTTAAAACACCAACAGCCCTCAATCCTTAAATCTTCAATATATCAAAATCCTCAAATCCTCAAATTCGCAAAACACCAAAATCCTCAAATTCTCAATATACCATAATTCTCAAGTGCTCAAAACTTTACATCCTCAAATCCTCAAAATATCAAAAATCCTCAAATCCTCAAAACACAAAAATTTTCAAATCTTCAAAACACTACAATCCTGAAATGCTCAAACCACCACAGTGTTCAAATCCTCAAAACACTAAAATCCTCACATCATCAAAACATCAGAGTCCATAAATCCTTAAAACACCAAAATCCCTCAATCGTCAAATCTTCAATATATAAAAATCCTCAAATCCCCAAATTTTTAAAACACCAAAATCTTCAAATTGTTAAAACACCAAAATCGTCAAATCGTTGAAACATCAAAACTCTCAAATCGTCAAAATACCGAAATCTTCAAACTCTCAAAACATCAAAATTTTCGAAGCCTCAAAACACCAAAATCCTCAAATAGTCAAAATACCATAATCCTTAAATCCTCAAAACACCAAAATCTTCAAATCCTCGAATACTTAAAATATCAAAATCCTCAAAACACCAAAATCCTCAGAACACCTTAATCGTCAAATCCTCAGAACACCTAAATCCTCAAATCTCAGAACACTTTAATCCTCAAAACCTCAGAACACTATAATCCTCAAATCACCAAAATCCCGAAATTCTCAAAACATCAAAATCTTCAAAACGTCAAAATGCCAAAATCTTGAAATTCTCAAAACATCAAAATTCTTGAAGCGTCAAAACACCAAAATCCACAAATTCTCAAATCCTCAAATGATCAAAATACCAAAATCCTCAAATCCTCAAAACACCAAAATCCTCAAACACTCAAAATATCAAAATCGTCAAATCCTCAAATTTCCAAAACACCACAGTCTTTTTGAAGGATTTGTCCTCAAAACACCAAAGTAATCAATTCTTAAAACACTAAAATCCCAACATCATCAAAACATCAAAGTCCTCAAATCCTTAGAATACCAAAATCCCTCAATCTTCAAATCTTTAATACATCAAAATCCTCAAAGCGGTTGGAGTTACGAAAGAAACGAGTGATTTTGAAATTCTTTAATATCTTAATTTTCCGAATTTTCGATTTCTCGATTGTTCAAGTTTTCGATTTCACAATTTTTCAACATGTCAATTTTGTGATTTTTTTTCAGTTTCTGGAGTTTTCAGTTTTTCGATTTTGATTTTTCAATTTTTACATATTTCAGTTTTTGGATTTATCAATATTTCGGTTTTTAAATTTTATACTTTTTGATTTTAAATCTTTGGAATTTTTATATTTCGATTTCCCGATTTTTCAGTTCTTCGATCTTTTTATTTGTCAATTTTTCCAATTTTTAAAATCTATATTTTTCATTTTTTTTCGATTTCGCGCCTTTCAATTCTTCTTGGTTTTAGATTTTTGAATTTTTCGATTTTTAAAATGCTGATTTTCGATTTTTCTTTTTTTTTGATTTTTCGATTTATCGAGATTTTGATGTTTCAATTTTTCGATTGTTCAATTTTACGATTTTTCAACTTTTAGATTTTTTAAAATTGTGAACTATCGACACTTTCCTAATATCAAACGAAATAACATTTTTTTGAAAACTGTAATGAAAAAATATCGGCAACGAAATAAAAATTGAATAAATTGCGAACCTGACACTGATTTAAACTTAAAAATTAGCTCATAAGAAGCGCATACAAAAATACAAAACTTTTGACATTGAAATAATAAACGACTGAAAGTAAAACACAAAAAAAATATTTTAAGTTAGAGTCATCAAAATATTTGTAATGGATATTAAGCAACATCGAACGTGACTAGAGAGACAATTAGGAATATGGATTTCATTTTTGACAAAGTTGCCTCAAAAATTCTCAAAAAATTCAGGAATATAGTTCCCGATGTGCTAATTCCAAAAATATACAATTTTTATGGGAATGGAAGTAATATTTTCGAAACATTGTACATGAAATTCGAATTTTTTGAAATCTCTAAAAATTTCGATATTTCATCTGGCAATTCTGGAAAAACGGCCAGGGTTATTGAAGGAACGAGACCTAAAACAAACCGCCAAAAAAACACCAAAATCCTCAAATATTTTATAAAATAACATGTATGTGTGATTTATGAGTCCGTGTTGAATTTTTGTGAAAAAAATAAAAATTTCGCCGAATAAATCCTCTCGAAAATTTTTAGAATTGCTTATACAAGTGACTCGAAAAAAATTAATGAATGAGTCAATCCGAAAATTTGGGAACTCAAGGTGTTATTAATAGT